CACTCAATTGGAATACAAGGAAGACGCTAACCCTTCAGAACACACTGATGATCCTCCGAAACCCTTTCCACTACTACTCAAAATCCAATCAAGAATACACGTCCCAGCCTGGGAGTTGGCTACTCAACAATCCTCCACCCATATTTCAACCTAGAACTTCTCAACTGCCCATACCATCATTATGAGTCTTCCACTTGAAACGACTCTGGCCACCACCTGATTCCTGACCATTGACCTCTTGCCGCGGAGACACCCATCCTTTTCTCAGACATATACCACATGCATTATCCCGTCATGCACCTTTCCTTGATCACCAATGACCCTGATCTCATGAATTCAAGTCACAAGTTTCTGTATCCAACCCCTAACCGCTCTTGCACAAATCTCTGGTTCTCTCAATAAACCACCCGGTTCTCCCCCACTTAGGGTTTGAACCATCACTATCTGACACATCAACAATCTCACGAACTATTTTCACTAGCAATAACGCACCTGCCCCTGGAAAGTGCTATGCAACGCCCGACAATCCCTTTTAAGGAAATCAATCGATCTCATATACTCTAAACCTCAGATGAAATCCTCAAGAACTTCTCGTCACGACTGTCTCTAGTCGTTCCAAGTCTCGTACCAATCCAAAACCAAACAACTCAACTGTCCAATAATATCACTGACCCATAGATTGGACCACGAAATCATCATACTCCCCCACCTCGACTCATCAACTGACGTTCCATCACATGGATCTTCCCAAGAACAGGGACCCGCTCCCATATTCAATACCCAATATAGATAGAAAAACCACTGCACTGATAAATTCGACTGGACTCCCCACTGATACCTCTACAATACGCCCTACTATACTGAATAGGTGTAACGTGGTCCTCGACTATCTCAGTCCCAAATGACTATCTGCTCATAGTAAATCACTACCTCGTGGCACACATGCTACCTGATACTCTAATGGAAAATCATCCTTAATGACAACTTGCAGGGTTTACCCCCAAACCTAAAACTTAAACATCTTGCCTCTCATGTCTCGTACACGAACATAAATAGCACCACCCATGTCATAGAAGGTGACATCTCCTCTATCGACTAATTTCTCACCTCAAACCGAAATTTTCCCTCCCTCTAGCTCCTTACCAAAATACTCTGAAAGGCTCTCAACCTCCCTCTTCAAGGGACGTCTCTTTGAACTCAATCATGGTCCACTGGCCTAAGGCCCATAACGTCCAATCTCTACCTCATCAATCATGACCGGATAACCGAAGAACCACGAGCATCATTTAATACGAACCATGGTACTCATCCCATGACATTTCTTCTCAACACGCTCCGATGTATGATACACGAACCGTAACTTCACTGCTCAATCCGCTCTGATATATGGTACTCGAACCATAACATCACTCCTCAATCTGCTCCGATGTATGGTACTTGAACCATAACATCACTCCTCGATCCGCTCCGATGCATGGTACCTGAACCATAGCATCACTCCTCCATCTACTCTGATGTATGGTACTCGAACCATAACATCACTCCTCTATCTGCCCCGATGTATGGTACTCAAACCATAACATCACTCCTCCATCTGCTTCGATGTGTGGTACTCGAACCATAGCATCACTCCTCCATCTGCTCTGATGTATGGTACTCAAACCATAACATCACTCCATTATCTGCCCCGATGTATGGTACTCGAACCATAACATCACCCCTCCATCTGCTCCGATGTATTGTAGTCGAACCATAATATCACTCCTCCATCTGCTCCAATGTATGGTACTCGAACCATAACATCACTCCTCCATCTGCTCCGATGTATGGTACTCAAACCATAACATCACTCCTCATTCCGCTCATTAGAACCTTCAGAGTACCCCCTGTATCAAGTATGGGTCCTCTGCTTTCAGTAGTATGGGCCCATACTACCTGCCACATCTACCTATACTTTCCACACGGACTATCCCGGAGCTCCTAAGTAGCTGATCGACCTTCTCGTTCACCAATTTCGCCACGCTTGCTCGCTCCTCAGCGGAATTCTCTATTCTGCCAGCGCACTCATCTGGCTAAGGTTGCTCCCTAGGCTCTTCCTAGATTCCCACACTTCTCTGCCATCAGCTGCTGAAGAGCTCCTAACGATGCCAGCCATCTACATCCTGAATATCATCATATTCGCTTGGTAGCTGACTCCCATCATCGAGAGTTCCACAAAACACGAAGCAAGCAACATTTGAGCATCGAAGAATACATGGGACTCACTCTGGGTGATACATCCACTTGCTCTGCTCATCCTCGAAAGTACCACCAAACCCTGCAACTCTTTCCCTCGTGGGTTCTAACTATTCTTTCGCTATGTACCACGGTACTCATCTAGGTATCTCCCCTAGATTACTCATCTACTCAAATCCCATAAAGGATTCCAACTAAATATTCTCAATCATCACATACTCAAAAGCACATCGCATATAACCGCAATTCCTAGGCTAAGGCATCACAAATCAAGCCACTCTAGTCCTAACATATGAAATACCTAGCCTGTCTCTAGCATGCAATGATATCTCATAAAGTGTATTAGAAATATCTCATAACACAATAGTAATGGTATTTTGGAATATAACCGTTCGGGCTCTGGCTGATTGTACACACTGCTCTTTCTCGCTTTCTCTTTGAACTCTTATTCACTTTAGAAAATTATTTCTTTGAAAATTTTTCTTACTTCCTCAGTTTGAGTCCAAATTTACCCGAAGGTGCATCCGAATCCCTCAAACCAAGGCTTTGATACCAAATTGTAACACCGTAAATTTCAAAAAAAAATTTCATTTAAACATAATGGTTTAATTTTTAAAAACACTATTCTTAATATCTCATTCACAATCAAATTACAAAACATAACTCCGTTTTCACTTCCATAATAAACCAGGATCCTCAAAATATGACTCTTTCGCTGATGTGTACAATCAAGCCGGTGTCGTTCCGTGATCCTGAAAGAAACCTGAAACACATAACACAAAACAGTGTAAGCACAAAGCTTAGTGAGTTCCCCAAAATACCACACATAACACATATTAGCCACTCGAGGCTATAACTCTGTGGATCCGTGCACCCAAACTCTGTGAACCCTCAGGTTCTAACTCTGGGAACCTTCGGGTTCTAAATCTGTAAACATGCACAACATAAATCACATAGAAATAATGCAGTACAACACAGAACATACATAGCATACAAATACTCTGTCACATAACTCTGGTTACCTACTCAAGGTAAATTATAGTGAGAAGACTCACCTGGCAAGCAAGAAGCAGATATCCTCACGCTTGCATCTCGAACTCGCTACCATCTATCACATAAGGTAACTGCTCTCATGAACATAACTCTTGAGACTAGACTCTATCCTCTCTCGGCATCCTCTCAAGGGTAAAAGACCATTTTACCCCCTTCTTGGCCAAAAGGCCACATTGTTGACCAACCCTAAAAGTCAACAAAAGTCAACGGTCAAACTTTGACCCAACTCACCAAGTGCACTCCGGTGACTCGGCGAGTACACACACGTCCACTAACTCTTTGGGATCCTCTCTCGACACGTCGAGTGTTTTCCTAACTAGATGGGTTCCACCTGGCATGAGTAGCGGGGCCACCACGACTCAACTCGTCGAGTCTCAAGAACAACTTGGCGAGTTCCAGCTTGACTCAGCCCACCCGTCAACCCTCTCTGACTCTCCCTAAATCACTGAGTCAACCCCTTAGCTCGGCAAGACCACTCGCTGAGTGGTTATGGACAATCTTCATGCTACTCGCCGAGTATGTTCTTCAGACTCGGCGAGTCTATGCCATGCATCAACTCAAACTCACTCCTGAGGTCAGATCCGTTCCAATAACTCATAGATCCAGTCCTTCCAAGCTCATACATCACGTAAAGTTACTATCTTTGTGCTCATGCAAATGTTCAAAGGCCTTATTTGAAGATATGGTCTCTAGAATGCTACTCTAAGCTTATGGCCTCCATTAACACTCATAAAGCTTGAGGGAAAAGGGTCTCTGGACCTCTTTGGGTCTAGATCTAAAGCATCAACACGAGAAGAGGCCATTTACTCCATGGATCATTCCAAAAAGGCCACAAAGAAACCGTATCTCTAATATTTACACCAAGGACTGAGAAAGGAATGAATGATTACATGAAATGAAGTCTCTGAGCTCAGAAATCACTGGATTAGCACCTTCTTTGGTATCCTCTTGCCTTGGTCCTCTTCTATATGCAAAACACCCATAAATAATCAAGGATCTTCCTCTTCTCTCTCACAAAATGCTCAAAGACTCTTTAGGGTTCTCTCTCTGGGGTTGGTTTCCGCAAATGATGGCCATAAGCCCCTTTAAATAAGTCTCATACCCTGGAAATTAGGGGTTCATTAAATAGCGTGGACTCGCCGAGTCCACTTTTGGACTCGCCGAGTTCGGATGCGAACCCGCACCCATAACCGCGATCATACTCGGCGAGTTTGGACTCCAACTCACCGAGTCTCCTCACAAATCACCAAAAAAATACAAAATAACTAATACCTGGGAACCCAGTCTATTACACCAACTAACTTGACTAAGTTGTGACATGGTTTCTATTTGAAACTAGTTTCTAGATGATGAATGGAATATAAATTCAAGTAGGGTTTTGAAGTTTGAACAACAGATATGTTGTTACCTTAACGAGGCCAGGTGGACCAATGATAACAAGATCTTCAAGTGCTTCTAGTTTGTCTAGTGATAAGGTGTTGTATAACATATCAACATCCTCAACTCATCAAAATCCTCCTGCAGATCAAATGGTTTGTGGTGGTTTTAGATGCTTTGTGAAAAGTGAAAACAACAAGAATCTTTTATCATGAATTTGAAAAGGCGGCATAGAGGAGAGAAACTAAAAAGAAAGTATTGAGAAAATGTGAAAGAGAAAAAAGTATATGATGACCTGATTTTGTTCCACATGGTCATCAATAAAGCCCTTAACATCATTGACTTGTTCCTCCAGAAATAGGAGGCATACCAAGAAGGGTGCTGCTTCCTTGTTGTACTTGTTGAAATCTCTGTAGAAATTTCTCTCTTTGATCTGGTGCTGTTTCAGTTCTTCCACGGAAGAGTCCCTATTCAAAAAAAAAGTATTTTAGTTAATGTAGATACAATGTATATTATAGCAATATATATAGCATACCCCTTCATGTTGAGTTTGGAAGGAACTACCAGGTCTCCACTGAATGCCAGGAACAACAGAAGGTGAAAAGACTCTTGTGCCCATGCCACCACCCTCCCCACCATTTCCATTATCACCATCAGTACTTTTGACACCACTTTGTGGAAACATGATTCTGCTACTCAAAGATGAAACAGGAGGATGCTGCTGAACCATTCTTGTCACACCCCCAAACCAGAACGGCGGAAACGTTCGGGGGCGGAGGACATCATGTTCAATATCATAACAGTTCATAGAAAGGAAAGTACACACCACCATATATAATAAGTTTGCAAGATGTTTACATAGTTGTATTCATTACATGTTCAAAATAAAGGTACATAAACATCATTCAAAATGAAGTAATTAACGCCAGCGCGTTAATCCCAAAAGTTGATTCCCAACCTGCTTAGCGATTTCCTAAGAATACAAGTTATTTCAAAGAAAAAGTGTCAACAATTAAGTTGGTGAGTCCATAAGTAGTTTAGAAAAATTGGATGCCATTCCAAAATGGGTGTATGTTTTCCAGTAAACGTAGCGTTTCAAAATGCAAAGAGTTGTGATTTGTGGTGTTGGAAATGAAAGCATTAGCTCCAGAAAATCCCATATTTTCCTTAATAGTTATTTGGTTTGTATGCAGGAAAAACCCTTATTTTCCTCACACATAATGCCAGTCTCTAAGACCGAAAATTTGCAAGAAACCGACGTTTCTCGTAAGTGTGTCATAGTTTTATATATAATAAAACTACGCGAAAATCGAACCGGTTGGATGAAGAATAGTTTAATAACTACTCGCTCATCAAAACTGAATATCATAATAATTGTATATCCGATGAGTTTCTATAACCATACTAAACATAATATGCCTGTAACGACGTTCTTCAGGCGTCGCAGTGCTATGACAACTGTCACCCCAAAAGACGGACTGTAGCTAACAGTCAGGGTGCGGATCATGACTTCCCGTATAGATCTATACACATTTGACACGTTCTCGTCGCGGGAGATTCTGGTTATAGACAGGACTTACTGCAGTACTTTCTAATAAAGAAAAGTAACGTTTGAAGATGTATGCGTCTCATGGATTCTCAATTAAGTCTATATTAAAGTGATAGTTTTGTATGCAAAGTTTATCCTTTTTCAAAATGTTTGATAAAGCAAAATCATAAGTTTTTAGAATGTATAAAACGATTTAACAATGAAAGATCATTATATGTTCGTATAAGTCTAATGCACACAAAGTATGACAAGAGTTTTCCATAATAGTAATGAGTTCCAAGTGGTTTATTTGATAATATAAGTGAAGTGAAACTTTATAAATACACGATAATAACCGTATGTTTACTTGTATTCCCCCCTAAAAGAGTGTAAAAGTATTTAAAAATGTATTTAAAGTGTGTTAGAAAGGGGTATGAACTCACTTGACAACTTGAAGATAGCGAGATGGAAAAACGGCAGAGTTTCGTCTCGGGAAATGGATTTTCTCGGAAATCTCGGATTCCTCGGGAGAAAATCGACCTTCGGATCTTGTACGAAGCGACCAGGGCTTCGGGGTAGTACGAGCACGGAAAACGAGGAAAAACGCAAGAGAAATGAGAGAGAATGAGCCCTTTCTTTGGAAACCTTCGTATGCTATTTATAGAGAGGCTAGTCTGCCTCAGTACGCGGGGCGTACGCTAGTACGCAGCGCGTACGCGTACGTCACGCATGACCGAGGCCTCGACTGCCTCGGCTTCGGATGGGACGGATCCCTGGGTTCGCGGGTCGGATGGGACGGGTCGCTGGCACGCGGGTCGGATGGGACAGCGGGTCGGGTTCTCCGGATCGTGCGACGTGGACGATCCGAGGCCGTGGCCTCTCAGTACGCGGGGCGTACTAGGGTACGCGGCGCGTACTATAGCCTTAGGCTGACTCCTCTTCGGATAATACCGAATTTTGAATAAAAATTATATATAAATTAATTATCAAACTTCAAAAATTCATATCTCCCTCATACGAACTCCGTTTTTGGCGTTCTTTATATCCCCGCGAAGGTGAGACTACGATCTACAACTTTCATTTAGATTCCGTTGGCAAATTCCGAAATTATTTTTATTATTTATTTATTAAAGTGACGTGTTTAAGGAATTTCTTTAAAAATTCATAACTTATTCATATGATGTCCGATTTGAGCGTTCTTTTTATGCATGTTTGTAGTTTAACGATATCTATCACTTTCATTTAGACACCTAAGGTCAGAAAATGTTTTATTGAAACTTTGCGTTTTTACGTAACTTTGTATTGCTGGTTTTTGTCGGAAAACTTATAATGAGCATAACTTCTTCGTTATAACTCGGATTTTTGTGTTATTTATATGTTTGGAAACCTTAAGATGATAACTACCACATAGTGTACTCCAAATAGAGTTTTTGAATACTTCATATTCTATTTCCTTTCTCAAGGAGGTTACATGACTCGATCTTTACTGACATGAAATAACGGGTTGTTACATCATCCCCCCGTTAGAGGGAATTTCGTCCCGAAATTTTTAATACAAAAGAAGAGTCTTAGGGGCTGGGGAAGAGATGTGGATACTTCTGTTGCATTTGTCCTCTCGTTCCCACGTGAACTCGGGTCCCCTCTTAGCATTCCATCGGACCTTTACTATTGGAATGCGACTCTGTTTAGTTCGTTTAATTTCCCTATCCATGATCTCGACGGGTTCTTCCACAAAGTTAAGATTTTCATTTAGTTCGATCTCATCGAGTGGAATTACAAGTGTTTCGTCGGACAGACACTTCTTCAGGTTTGATACGTGGAATACTGGATGTACTTTGTTAAGCTCTATTGGAAGTTGGAGTTTGTAGGCTACTGGACCAACCCTTGAAATGATTTCGAAGGGTCCAATGTACCTAGGATTCAGCTTCCCACGCTTTCCAAAGCGTATCATTCCCTTCCAGGGTGAGACTTTCAGTAGTACCGATCGCCAGTCTGGAATTCCAATGGTTTACGTCTTTTGTCGGCGTAGCTCTTTTGTCTATCCCTCGAGGATCTCAGTCGCTCTCGTATTTGCACGATCTTTTCAGTAGTTTCTCTGATGATCTCTGGACCAGTGAGGGTGCTATCAGGGACTAGACCTTTTGCTAGTTGGGTGTCGCCTACTTCCGTCCAGCACAGAGGTGATCTGCACTTACGGCCGTAAAGGGCTTCAAATGGAGCAGCATTGATACTGGTATGATAACTATTGTTATAAGAGAACTCAACCAAAGGTAAGTGAACATCCCATGCTTTACCAAAGTCGATTACACATGCTCGCAACATGTCTTCCAAGGTTTGGATCGTTCTTTCGCTCTGTCCGTCAGTTTGGGGGTGATAGGCTGTACTCATGTCCAATCTTGTTCCCATGGATTTTTGCAATGATTGCCAGAACCTAGATGTGAATCTGCTGTCTCTATCCGAGATGATAGACATTGGCACTCCATGGAGTCGTACGATCTCTCGGATGTAGATTCTCGATAGCTTTTCCATTTTATCAGTTTCCTTGATCGGTAGGAAATGAGCGGACTTGGTTAATCTATCGACGATTACCCAAATAGTATCTTGGCCACCCTGAGCTTTGGGCAGTTTCGTTATGAAGTCCATGGAAATCTGCTCCCATTTCCACTCAGGAATTTCAGGTTGTTGGAGTAGTCCTGAGGGTTTCTGGTGTTCTATTTTGATCTTGGCGCAAGTCAAACACTTGCTCACATATGTAGCGACCTCTGCTTTCATGTTTGGCCACCAGTAGAGTTGTTTGAGATCTTGATACATCTTGTCTGACCCGGGGTGTACGGAGTATGGAGTCTTGTGTGCCTCGTTCATAACTACCTCTCTAAGTCCACCAAACTTGGGCGTCCATATTCGGTTCATGAGGTAGCGTGCTCCGTCACTCTTGATTTCTAAATTCTTGTCCATTCCCCTAAGGGTTTCACTTGTCACGTTTTCGGGTTTTAGGGCCTCTATCTGAGCTTCCTTGACCTGTGTCGACAGGTGCGAATGGATTGACATGGCTAATGACTTCACTCTTCGGCCAGAGTACTCCTTACGGCTAAGGGCATCTGCCACGACATTAGCCTTTCCTGGGTGATAGCGAATCTCACATTCGTAGTCGTTGAGTAATTCGACCCAACGTCGCTGCCTCATGTTCAACTCCTTCTGGTTGAAGATGTGTTGTAGGCTCTTGTGGTCTGTAAAGATAGTGCATTTGGTACCATATAGGTAGTGTCTCCAGATTTTAAGAGCGAAGACCACCGCCCCAAGCTCTAAATCATGAGTGGTGTAATTGACCTCATGCGTTTTTAGTTGTCGTGAGGCATATGCAATAACCTTTCCCCTCTGCATTAGTACACAGCCCAGCCCTTGCTTCGAAGCGTCGCAATATACTACAAAATCTTCGGTCCCTTCTGGGAGAGAAAGGATGGGCGCACTGCAAAGGGCCTGTTTCAAAGTCTGAAATGCAGAATCTTGCTTTTCTCCCCAATTGTAGGTCACACCTTTCTGGGTTAAGGCGGTAAGAGGCTTTGCGATGCTGGAGAAATTCTGGATGAACCGTCGATAATAACCAGCCAGGCCTAGGAATTGGCGAATTTCTGTTGGTGTAGTTGGCGCCGACCAGTTTTTGATAGCCTTAATTTTGATGGATCCACGTGGATCCCTTCCTTGCTGACCACGTGACCGAGAAAGTCCACCTTTCTAATCCAAAATTCACATTTTGAGAATTTTGCATACAGTCTCTCAGTCCGTAACGTCTCTAGCACTTGCCTCAGATGTTGACCATGCTCTTCTTTATTCTTTGAATAAATGAGTATGTCGTCTATGAATACTATCACGAATTTATCCAAGAATGGACGACATACCCGATTCATTAGATCCATGAATACGGCCGGGGCATTGGTTAGCCCGAACGGCATCACTACGAATTCGTAATGTCCGTATCGTGTTCGGAAAGCCGTCTTGGAGATATCACTCTCCAGGACTCGCAGCTGGTGATATCCCGACCTCAGATCGATCTTGGAGAAGTAGTTGGCTCCTTGGAGTTGGTCGAACAAGTCATCGATTCGGGGTAGGGGGTATCGGTTCTTGATGGTAAGTTTGTTGAGTTCTCGGTAGTCGATGCACATTCTGAATGATCCATCCTTCTTTTTCACGAACAGTACAGGTGC